GTCAGTACATGAGGATGTCATCTGCATACGATATTCTTCCTCTGCCACTCAGTTATTCTCCTCTGATCTTGACTGTGTGGATATTGAAGAGGATTGGAGACAATGGCGAGCCCTGTAGCAAACCTGTGCTTACTGTACATCTGTTCTGAAGACCAACTACCACAACGAAGTATCACCTTCGTCTAGAACAGTGCGGCAGAAATACCTCTAAAGAGCCGTTGAGGAGGGAAAGAGGGGTTTACATAGGTCATCCATGGATGTTGCAGGTAGCTTGGCTGTGTCTTCACAGCAAATGCCATCAAGGCCTGGAGCAGACTTTTGTTAAATATGCTTTTTAATATGCCAGTTAACTCATAACTTTGTGGTAAATGCCGTACAGGGCATTGATAACATCGCTTATGTGCAATACTGAACCAGCCAAAGCAACCACATTGTCTGCATAGTTTCAGTAACCAATTAGATGATCATCTTCAATGTCTGTACCGGCACATGTTGCAGCCAGCATGTTTGTCAGTGTCCTGCATACAGGTTTGCCTGGGGTATCTGTCTAGGAGGGCTCTTTGTCTTCGTCAGACATAAATTATGGGACTTGGTTTCTGCAGTAGTCACTACAGAGGTTGAAGCATATATGAATCTACATCCCAAGATGATGATGGTGTTTACACGGATGGTTCTATAGTTCACCGCCAGCGAAGTTTCTTTTTAATTATAGGTAAAAGTAATGTTAGTCTCCCCAGACCCCGCCCATATACACACTAGCTCACTTCTGATTGGTAGTTCCTGAGCCCCGTGACCTTTTCACAAAGTTACGGGGGTGTTCCGCAATGTAGTTGATATCGCATGTTGTATATTTCAGCACACATGAAGAAAACGAAAGAGCGGTACACACCTGTAATCTTCAGGAAAGTCGACCAACCCAACAAACTTGTGAATGAAAAGTGACCTACTCTGGGGAGATTAACGTTACTCCTACCTAATTTTATTAAATTTAAATCTCAGTCAAGATATTTTAATTATTATTTAAGAATTGCCATGCCTGTCTATAGATTTGTTATCAGTGTCGTTCTTCCTTATTCAGCTATTTGACGTCAGTGTCGTTCTTCCCCATTCAGCTATTTTACGTCATTGTCCTTCTTCCTCTTTGGGCTATTTGACGTCAGTGTTGTTCTTCCTTATTCAGCTATTTGACGTCAGTGTTGTTCTTCCTTATTCAGCTATTTGACGTCAGTGTTGTTCTTCCTTATTCAGCTATTTGACGTCAGTGTTGTTCTTCCTTATTCAGCTATTTGACGTCAGTGTTGTTCTTCCTTATTCAGCTATTTGACGTCAGTGTTGTTCTTCCTTATTCAGCTATTTGACGTCAGTGTTGTTCTTCCTTATTCAGCTATTTGACGTCAGTGTCATTCTTCCTCATTTGGCTATTTTACGTCATTGTCCTTCTTCCTCATTCGGCTATTTGACGTCAGTGTTGTTCTTCCTCATTCAGCTATTTGACGTCAGTGTCGTTCTTCCTCATTCAGCTATTTGACGTCAGTGTTGTTCTTCCTCATTCAGCTGTTTGACGTCAGTGTTGTTCTTCCTTATTCAGCTGTTTGACGACAGTGTTGTTCTTCCTTATTCAGCTATTTGACGTCAGTGTTGTTCTTCCTCATTCAGCTATTTGACGTCAGTGTTGTTCTTCCTCGTTCAGCTATTTGACGTCAGTGTCGTTCTTCCTCATTCAGCTATTTGACGTCAGCGTCGTTCTTCCTCATTCAGCTATTTGACGTCAGTGTTGTTCTTCCTCATTCAGCTGTTTGCCGTCAGTGTTGTTCTTCCTCATTCAGCTATTTGACGTCAGTGTTGTTCTTCCTCATTCAGCTATTTGACGTCAGTGTTGTTCTTCCTCATTCAGCTATTTGACGTCAGTGTTGTTCTTCCTCATTCAGCTATTTGACGCCAGTGTTGTTCTTCCTCATTCAGCTGTTTGCCGTCAGTGTTGTTCTTCCTTATTCAGCTATTTGACGTCAGTGTCATTCTTCCTCATTTGGCTATTTGACGTCATTGTCCTTCTTCCTCAGTTGTCTATTTGACGTCAGTGTCGTTCTTCCTCATTCAGCTATTTGACGTCAGTGTTGTTCTTCCTCATTCAGCTATTTGACGTCAGTGTTGTTCTTCCTTATTCAGCTATTTGACGTCAGTGTTGTTCTTCCTCATTCAGCTATTTGACGTCAGTGTTGTTCTTCCTCGTTCAGCTATTTGACGTCAGCGTCGTTTTTCCTCATTCAGCTATTTGACGTCAGCGTCGTTCTTCCTCATTCAGCTATTTGACGTCAGTGTTGTTCTTCCTCATTCAGCTGTTTGCTGTCAGTGTTGTTCTTCCTCATTCAGCTGTTTGCCGTCAGTGTTGTTCTTCCTCATTCAGCTATTTGACGTCAGTGTTGTTCTTCCTCATTCAGCTATTTGACGTCAGTGTTGTTCTTCCTCATTCAGCTGTTTGCCGTCAGTGTTGTTCTTCCTTATTCAGCTATTTGACGTCAGTGTTGTTTTTCCTCATTCGGCTAGTGTCAAAGCCAGATAAGAGAACTGAGAGTTATTTGACAGTCACAGTGGAAACAGTAGATCGGTACGAGGTTGAGAATGGGCTGAATTTAAGAAAGGTGAAGAAATTATAGAAATTTCTTGGCAACCAATCAGGGTTGCTATAATGGCTTTTTTTGACGCCAGATTTAACAAATTTGGCGTGTTTTGGCATGTTTGGGTTTTTCCTGTCTTTTCTAGACAAGACGTTCTCATCTTTTCTTCATAGTTTCTCCGTATCAAACACGCTAATTTACTAAAAGCAGTGTAGGTCTACAGGTAACAAACATCTTTATTTCAGTTTGTCTTTGTTGTGATGTCCTGGTACACGGACTAAAGGAGATTCGCGCCATCTTCTAATATACGAGCATCTGTGTATGAATATTTTGTCTTCTAAACGGATCGTGACTGCGATAAACTAAGGCCCTCTGTAATTTAACTATAATAAAGCAGGTCGTGGATAAACCATCGCACTTCATGAATTACGGAGTCACACGGCCTGGAATACTTATTTGTGCTAATGGTGGGAGTTTAATTAGAGAAAATGTTAATTTACTGGATTTAATTTATTATACCGCATCTGCCAGAGAGACGAAGGACCAAGGGTCTGCATACAAATAAGCCAGTTATATCAAACTGACGTGCACGCAAAAATCAAGTCCTGTAACAAGATCGCAGTCCAGAAGTGAAAGAACAGCCAGAACTGTTCGCAGGAAGATACAGTGGAGAAATAGAAGAAGTAGTAGTAAATGAAAACTAAGAAGTTCTGGTGTGAGACTGGCGACCTCGTGCTATAGAAATGTGTTTCTGCAAATCAAGTCAACTGTTCTTCTTCTTCTCTCCCACCTTGTACCTCAGTGAAGTGTCGGGGGGTTAACTGTGAGTAGTAATAATAGAAAAGGCTTCTATCAGAGTTTGGTCCTCTCTGTCAGAGAATATGCACTGGCATTAATCATCTTCAGCAAGACACAAATCGACAGACTGTAAAAGTTTCAAAGTGAAGCAATGCGCATCATACTTGGTTGTACCAAAGACACATCATGTAGTGCAACGAGATACCTACTAGATCTTCTAGATATAAACAGCAGGCTTGAAATGTCACAAGCGTGTGCCTACCTCAAAATCACTGAGGACTAAATAAGGTAAAGGCAACAGACTAAAACGAGGCCAGTCTTGGTTGGACTGGACAGAGACAGTACTTCGACGGGTGATTTACCGTCAAGATATAAACCGTAGAGAGGAATGGGCACTCATACCAAATGAACACAAGCAGTATTTTATGGTGATTATCACCCTGACAAGACAGCACCACGATTTGGTGCCACCAATGGCTGATGCAAAAGTAAAAGCATTGGCGGATGAATACACATCATCGAAAGATGCTGTTGTTTATACAGATGGTTTTGTGATTCGTCACTAGCGAAGTGCATAGGCTTTCACTCCAAGAACCAAAGGGAAAGTCAGTAAAACAGATAGTGGAGCCTTTGCTTCTACAACCAGCAAGGCTGGGGGGCTGCGTGCACTCGAGGAATGGCGTACACCTCGAGTGCTGGAGGTCCCGGGTTCAGACCCCCGGCGAAGACTGGGATTTTTTTCACGCGGACTTCCGGTAATTTCCCCCGGTCTCTGGGTAGTAAGATCCGACCCCCGTATGTATTGTTGCTAGTGTAAAAAATTCCTCGGCAGTTGGAAATCGAAAAGAGTAGCCTAACGGCGCTACCCTAACAAAAATTTTGAGTTAAAAATTTACCCAGAGTATTTCAGGATCCTCGTCGGTGCTACGGAGTTCGTGGAATGCGCTGAGATTCTTCGGACGCAGTCTTGAGTCAGTAGTATAATGGAACACTTGTTACACCTTGTGTCATGCTGTTGATCCGACATCTAAACCTAAAAAACCCAGCAGCATGACAATGGACGTCTGGCTGTGACAAAGGCCTTAGAATGGCTGAATACTCGGGAGATCACCAATGCATGTTTGCTCAGCAGCTCAATGAGCTTGCTATAGAAGATCAAGGAGGGGTACACATGGAAACAGTGACTCTGATACAGCACGCAGCGTTTGGTAAAATCATCTTCGTTTTTGTCCCAGGGAATGCTGGTGTGAAAGGCAATGAGAGAGAAGATGCTCCTGATGGCAGTGCGACTATCAGAAATGGGCCCTCCGCGAGACAGGAAAACCATGCAGGAGCCATCTGTCATTATATCAACCAGAACAATATGGGAGTTGTTAGCCTAAAAACACTTGAAGACATACTCAGGATCAGATCGGAGCACTTATGGTCATGTCCGATGTGCGATTTAGATGATCTCTAAAATTAACAATGCAGTGTATTGTATATGTTAAAAATGTGTCCCGTCTTCAGTTGGTGCGTTACTAACGCCCAAGACTACTTCCGGTATGTTGTTTACATTATCAACTGAGCGACCAGACGTGAGTCGACATGGAGAAATCTTTATGGGATATTGCCATTGAGCAGTCGAAAAAACGTTCGTGTATTTTTGTTGTAGCCATTATTTAACACATCTTTTACTATCTAAAATTAGACACCCTGAGTGAGTCACTTGGTTCTATTTAATTTGTATATTAAACTAATTTCAAGAATATTCGTAACGATGGTCAACGGCGTCCAGCTTGAGAATAATTTCAATAATAAATGTGCAGGCTGTCACTGCAGCTTTCCGCTGATTAGGGAACACGAACACGACACATACACAAATACACACACACATATCGTGATTGTAACTGACTCAGAAGCATGCAGAGGTAACGGTTGAGTAGTATTGTCTGCATTTGTTTCTCCTGGCATGCCAGTGTGTTGGGAAATGAACAGGTGGACAGACTGACTGGTTCTGCACAACTTTGTAGAATGTTGATGTATGATAAGGCAGACGGGGTTAGGGCTACATGGGGGAACAGAACGTGTACAGTTTGGAGGAGCAAATACATCACCACAGTCTGTTGAGAGTGATGCAGCGGGAAGAGTCAAGAGGATCTGACCCAAACTTGGCACTCAGAGGAAAGGCAAGACGGATGTGTAATCATAATACTACTGACACCTTTGGAGCTCTGCCCTGGCTGCTGAAGATATGGATGGAGTATGGAGCGCTTTTGGGAATGCCTTGAGTGTTGTGAAGTCAGTTCTTGTCAACTCTTAACAACTTAGCCACTCAGTGTTCTGCTTTTACTCTGTAGTTTTAACTTGATTGTAAATATTTAAATGGAGCACTGTGAAAAATGTGTTAAACATTTTGGATGCTATCTAACTTATAGTAATCAGCATTTATGCACCATATAAATGTGATTGTATTCCAAACTGGATATACATTGCTGCTGTGCACCATGTCCATGACAGAATGAAGCATTCAGACATGAGATGTTTTGATTCTATCACATAAGAAAATTGGTGTGCTAACTCAAAAGTAAAGAGCAACGGTATTATACCTTCTACGATCTTTGGGAATAATCCTATTAATATTAAGTCGACATGGCATAGTTCTTGAACCACTATAAAAATGCAGCGAGAACAGTCTATCTATATATATAAAAATCAATGTTTGTGTGTTTGTTTGCCCCCTATAGACTCGGAAACTACTGAACCGATTTAGCTGAAATTTTCAGGATATGTTTGTTTTGATACCGGATTTTGAACCATCGTTGTTTGAAATTCAACCTGTCACTGTTAGAGATAGGTGACCACAATTTATGCCATAATATTCGCAACTAATATTTATAACTTTAGTGATTTCTAATTATAGCCACGTTAGTAATTGCACATGCGCCGCCGTAGTCAGAACGCAAGGCTTCCGCCATTCGCCGGCGAGTTACGTGCAGCCAACGCCTTCTCTAATACATAGAATAGGTCGAGGTACAGCAAACAAGACTATCTCTATATTTGCCACAATAACCATATTAAACACGATTTCTATTTTCTGTTTTTTTTTTTCAAACAACCTTCGATGGGGGGGGGGGGCAATCAAGGACTATCTCGACGTCGGCGCAGACATTGACTGCGACATTAACTTCATTAACCGTGTTAGACACGTGCGATTTCTATTGTTGTGCCGTTTCATTAATATATCTGGAGTATCTGTCTACGAGAAAACAATTGCCTGCGGTTTTGAATTGTGTTTTAATCAGGACACATAAGTAGGGACACACATCTCTAATAGTTAAGTTCTTTTTTCTTTTATCCGATTAAGTGGCTGCTTGGTTGAATGGTTAGAACACTGGGTTCCTGTGCGGGAGACCTGGGTTCGAATCCGCAGTAGTTAATTTTTTTTTTACCCCGGACTAAAATAATATCCTCATCTGCTCTGTCGTGGTGACAGCACTAGCCATGTTGCCTTAATTAAAAAAAAAAAAAAAGACAAGTAAATGGGTAAACCATTTGATAATTAAATTTGACCATTTCGCATACTTATGATTGCATTATTAAACTTTCCGATTGCATGGTTACGCTGAAATTTTATAGATTTTCATTTATTTTCATTTAGATTTAGTTATTTCATCTGCGTTGGAATTTTAAGCTGTGCTGTTTACCATGGCGTTCATTTCCTAATTATGGTGTTTTTTTTCCTGTGTTCATTTGCTTTTCAAGTGTTTTTTTTTCTCCCAACTACTTCAATGAGGGAAAGAGTTGTCGGTGAATTTAGGGGAGGGGGGGGGGGGCAAACTATTTACTGAGAGAGCTTTAAGTCACAGTAACTGCTTTACCCACTTAAAGTAGCAGCAGCAGTAATAGTTGTGGTTGGGCTGTTACACCATAGTGCTCTCATGTGAAGACCGCCGATAAGGTTATGGCGTTCTTCTGTCGGCAAGTGAAATTATACATCCTAACCTGACCAGTCTGTGGTGACAGCACTAGCCATGCGGAACCAAATCTTCTGGCTCACGACTCTCTGTCTACTCCGATGGTAACACAGATAGCAGTGACATTATTTTAGTAGTACTTGAAGGATGATGTGGTAAATATTACACTAGCCCTATTCACTACCTATTACAATTCCTGCTCCCCATTTTAGTCCAGATGGACAGGGATGTCAATGTCAGTTACAGCAACAACAAAATATCGCCAGGTAATGATTTTCAAATATTTCGAAGAGGGAGAAAGCAGTAGTCGGTGGAAGAGGGGAGGGGGGTAATGACTTAAATTTGATGAGGGAGAGGGTAGTAGGTGGATTTAGTTGTGGGGTGGGGGGGGGGGGGGGGGATCAAAGACTATCTCTATATCTGAGTAGACAATGATTGTATTAGACACGTGCGATTTCTATTTTCTTTCATTTCCATTTAGCCAAACTTTGCCTTAGCAACGCGTGGCCGGGTAACGCTAGTTATTTTATAAAAATAAACATCTGCCTCATAAATAAAACCCCTGGTGTGACAAGGGTTGTAAAATTTTTAATTGCATTCACCAACCTCTAAGCCACAGAGCCACACACTGTCTCCTGGGTAATGTTATAACAGTGATCTCATATGGAAGAAAACTATGTAATGTCAAAATGTTATCAGTTCAAGTCTCAGAATTATCTGCATTTGTTCATTAAATGTGTGTCTCATGAATATGTGTGTGTACTTCTAGGCACTGACAGTTCCAGCAGTGAAGAATCAACGATCTTCCTGATTGGTTCCAAAAATTCTGTAAGTAACGTCTGATATGGGATCTCTCCTTGTTTGCTATTTAGAGAACCAGTTTATGAATGTGACAGATGTAATTTTTTTTTAATGGGAAAACCTTTTATCATGGCATGGAAAGTTGTCACCACTCAGATTTATACATGATGTTGAAGGTAATAAGACGCAGAGAAACAGGGCTTTTTTTCCCTGGTGGTACAGAATAGTACACAGTACCAGCACCCTTTAAAAGACATCTTTTTTTCCCAGCATCACTATAAAAGACACCTTGATGTGACTGTCGGCATCAGATAGTACATTTGCATCAAAAATTGCATCATTCTTATTTTCAGTATACCCCCAGTGACCTTTTTTAAAACAATACCAGCATTTAAAATACTGGTGCAAAATTTCTAAAGCATACCAAAATATTGGGTGTGGTACCAGAGGTACAGTTTTTCTTGGCAAGTGTCAAATCGTACATTTGCATCAAAAATTGCATAACTCTTATTTTCAGTACACGCCCACTCACCCTGTTTTAAATGTTTAAAACCTGCCACATTATGCAATATGTCCTGAGTTTGCCAACAATGGCTTACAGACACAAAGTTGCACAGGTCATGACATACATGAGGGTATCGGCAGATGTTAACCACCAACTGCACAAAGCTATTCACAAAACAAAAGGAATGCGCCTCAAAAGAGGCCCCTCTTGGATGACCAAGGCTGGAGATTTAATCCAGCAGGTATGTGATCTAGACACAGAGGTAAAGTCACTGATAGATCAGCATTCACACACAGAAAAAAATCATCATCTACACAGATGGATCTGTGAAGCAGGGATCAAGGTCAGCATGGGGATACATAGCACAGAGGTTGGAAAAAACAATACAAGAGGGCAGTGACGCTTACCAGGCAACTGTGTCAGGCATGACCATGAAGATGGCACTAGCATAGACAGCAGAGCAGACAGCCACACAAGCAGTATTTCTATCAGACTCTATGCACATGCTTTAGAAGATAGCAACAGGTGGTATGCGCTCTGAATGGGTAGAAAACATTTGAAAATTGCACTCAACCTCCCTCACATGGATCTACACACCTGGTCATGCTGGCGTAAAGGATAATGAGCAACTGGCAAGCATTGCCAGGAAGAAGCATGAACAGAGCAGATACTTCTCTGTCTGTCTTATTTTATATTTATATTTAATATAAACAGAGTTGGGTGAAATAAAAGTTTATATGCTGTTGAATAGTCTGTAAAACAAAAGAGTTATGAACTCATAAAAAAAACAGAATCAGCTAAAAATCAGGCACAAGTGTTTGTCCGTGCCTGTTTACTTTTCATATAAACTTTTATGGACAGAGAATCATCTTACATATTTTTATTTGTAAAAATGTTTTTCTTCTAACAGGGAAAGACATCCATCATTCTCCGATTCTTGGACAGGTATGCTGAATGTTTTTTTTTTTTAAATCTTCTGTACTATTCATTTTATTATACTTTACTGCATTTATAGAGACGGGAATCTGTCCCTGGTTGAGGAACTGGCTAGCAACTGTCCTGCATACATGTATGGTTGCTCTATTTCTCTATATATGGACATCACAGCTATGCATTATCATCACAGGGCTACTAGCCACTGACAGCCATGGTAGTACAATGGCTAGCACGTTTGCCTGACAGCCCAGTGTTCATGGGTTCGTGGCAACTGAGACCCCGGGTTCCAATACCCCTGCAGTAAAAATTAAATGCAGACATTACATTTGGGATGTGAAGTCTTAAGACCTTCACATTTTAGGCCAGTGATCTCCACCCTGGTGGGAACGTCCCCCCTAGGAGGGCGTCAGGCAGTGAGTTTATTTGTACTTTTAATAATCCATTATTTTAATATTTAAAAAAAAAAAGTTATTACAAATGAAATATTTTCTAAAACTATTTATAAAACAGAAAAGCCAGGGAAGTTTTTGTTTCCATGAGCAGGTTGTATATGTAATGTGAAAACCCTAATTTAATATGCTTACACCTGCTTTTAATTACAGATTAGGAACATATTCTTCTTTTTTTTTGTTTGTTCCAACCCATTGTGTTATGTTGAGGGATGGAGCCATGCCATATACTGAAGGGGGCGTGGAGGTCTCGCCATATACTCGGAAGGAGGAGGCTGAAGGGGAGGGGGGGGGGGGGGGAATCTGAAGAAAGGTTGGAGACCACAGTTCTAGGTCATGGCATAATGTGATGTTTTGACCAATTTCCATTCTTGCCACTCTTACCTATAAAATTCTGAAAATTGCCTAGTAGTTATTTTATTAAGTTAAAGTCAAAAGGATCAGCTTCTTTGCACCAGGTTTGATCCCATATGGCCCGATCTCTCTCCTTAGAATAGCTAGCTACCTGCCGAGAGTATTAAAAAAGCGTGATAACCGTAGCTCTGGCAATGATCCCCATAAATATTGTAGTCATGGACCAAACGATGCAGCCTTGAAATGAAACCGTGACCTTCAGAGCGTGAGGCAAACAGCCTGACCACTTTGCCATGGAGATCCTGGTTATTTTATGAAGCTGGGTGAACCACTAATTCATTATTGTCTGCAAGAAAGAATCCTACCATAGGATTCCGACAACTGTTGGTGGGGCACAAACAGTGACCACTATGCTCAAATATAATTGCTGAATAACTAACGTTCCAGCCATATAATTGTAGGAGTCATTAATACAGTGTTTATAGGACGATTGTCCAGAAAGCAATGGCAAACTACTGGACGTAAATTTGCCTAGAGAAACCACACAACAGCCAGAAAGTGCTAGGGTTGGTTCTGCAACATCCTGTAAAGGATGCGCAACTAACCTAACCTATAGGATGATTGCTGTGGTTATTTTTAACAATGTTTCATTTCCTCATGCCGCAGAGATGAGCCACCAAAACCCACAGTTGCTCTGGAGTACACTTTCGGAAGAAGAGCCAAGGGAAACAATATTGTATGGAAACATGAGTTGTCATTTATTTTTTTTTTTTTCGAATTATTATTATTATTAGTGATTCCATCTTCTTGAAAAAAACAAATTTTTTTTTACTCATTTTTTTTATTGCTAATAGCATCTGGTCAGGATTTTTGTTTCAGTTTTTTTGCTTTTGTTTTTGTTGTTGTTATAGATAGTGGGATTTGGTCGGGATGTGTTGCAAAAGAGAAAACCATCTTGACACATTAGTCCCAGAGTCGATGCAAATGTATTTCTGTCAGTGAAGGCAGGAGAGTTCTAGCAGTAGCTGAAGTGTAAAGAGGATATGGAATGGAGTAGCAGACGGATCTAATAATTCAACTCACTTTTACTGACATTTGGGACCTCCAGGGTGTAGACTAGATGGGTTTGGGTCCTAATAGAACCATCATTTTTTTTTAAACTTAAATTTTACAAATAAAAACCACTGACTTCGCTCCCAGGTTGGCCCAGCCTTGACTGGGTACCAGGTAAAAGTACTGGGAAGTAAAGGTGGCCGGCATGATGCTGACCTCATCACCCACCAAGTGCTGATTGGTCTAGCCCTATATACCCACTATACCTGAAGGCATGCAAGAGGGTTCTTTACTTTTTTATACTTATTTTTACAAGACTGACATCAGATAGTTTGAAGCATATGAAACTGCTCATAACATGCATAAAGGGCATTTTAAAAGACGGCGTTCATCTACCAGTCTCTTCTAATACTTCTTCTTATTCTTCGTGCTCACCAGGCTGTTAAGTCAAGCAAAAAGTTATGTTTGTTAGTCCACTTCTAGACTTTGGTATTTTTCCAGGACTTTTTATGTGCCTATCTGTTTCATAGATCTGGCTTATATGTGTGCAGACTCTTGGTTCCTCAGTTTTCAGGACGTACACCCTGCCTTCACAGTAAACATCAATGGTCAGACCTCCAGCTGGGAACTTGTTTGTAGGGTGACTGCAAAGAGGCATAAATAGGTCTGGAGCTGTATGAGCCTTGGTCCTAATGCATCATCATGTGTGGTTGAGCACAACTGCATCCCTGGTCATAAGACTTGGTCCGTCTTAAAAGTTAGTTGCGTATCCTTTACAGGACATTGCAGAACCAACCCCAGCATATTTTGGCTGTTGTGGTTTTTCTAGGCACATTTTACATTGAGTAGTTTGCCTTTGCTTTCGGAGTGGTCGGTTCTTGGTATCACTGTTGGAAACAACACGAGACAAATAGTCCGCATCTGGCATCGAACCCAGCACTGTGGCATTTGCGAAGCACGTTCGCAGCGTGTAAGCCACAGTCGCCTACTATCTTAATTAACAAATAATTGCCAACTACTGAATTAGTGATCTTTCAATGCTGGGGCTGAGGCTTCTAGCCTGCATCAGTTCCCCTTTTCAACGTGTGGGCTCCTGAATATAATAGCACAACAGGAGAGTGAACAAAGTCTTAGGTTGTAAGAAGGTGAAGGTAAAGGTGAGATGATCAACTTCATTGCACCGGGTTTTATCCCATATAGCTCAGTTTCTCTCCACAGAACAGCTAGCTGCCTGCCGAGAGTGTTACACAGAGCATGACCTCCATAGCTCTGGCAATGATCCCCAGGGATCTCCGTAAAAATTTCACTCATGAAGTGAACTGAGCCACCATGAAATGAACCCACAACATTCAGAACGTGAGGCAAATGACTTGAAGGGTTGAAAGAAGAATAAGCAGTTGCCTCCTGTAACACTTTTACATTGTGCTTCCTCAGGCTAAAGATGTAGGTCACATCTGGGAGCTAGGGGGAGGAACTTGGTTGTCCAAACTCATAGAAGTTCCTGTAACACTTTTACATTGTGCTTCCTCAGGCTAAAGATGTAGGTCACATCTGGGAGCTAGGGGGAGGAACTTGGTTGTCCAAACTCATGGAAGTTCCTGTAACACCAAGCACACTGATGTAAGATCAATATTTTCTCTGAAATATTTAACGACTCTTTTCCATGCCTTGAGAGACTCTGGGCCGTTGTCGTTGAGCCCATATTTTTTATAAAAAGGTAAAGGTCAAGTCGGGAGATGTGAACCTGCGCCATTGCACATGGTTATAAACCATAAGTGCTGTGCCACCAGTAGCGACAGCTGATAAGAAACTGTCCGCCTGTGTCACCGTCTGCACGTAACTCTGTAGCTACAGCGGCGTTCCTCCATTTACCCCAGAGTGTCAACTCTGGTACCCATTTCCTAGAGGCTGGGTGAACCCTGGGAACCGCCGGTTTCGAACACCTACCGTGGGCTGCAGCGAGTCCCAGCTGGATTTGAAAGCGAGTCTCCTATCAACTGCGCTAACACGGCCTCGTCCGTGTTTTTATAGACCACTCAACTTTAGATAGACAGTATGGTCCCATGTCCCCCATCTTTTTAACTTCACTCTCTAATTCCCTTCTCCATGTTTTGTTTTTGTCTGCCTTTATTTCTTTGACCCTGAGATTTGCTGTGTGAAGACATTCTGTTTGTATAGTTATCAGATTTTCTCAGTGTACCCTATCCAAAACCCGCATTTTTTTCACTGGAATTTGTTTAATTCTCTACCAAAGCTCCACATTAGTTATTCTGTGATATGTTTCAACTCTCTCTGTTCTGCGCAGGTGCCAGTCCCTGAATAGAAATGTAATTATAACTATATCTTTTTCTGCCTTTTATCCCCCATTGGAGCACAGGCCCTCAACCAATCCTCACCACATCTTCCTGTCCTTTGCTATTACATGCAGCTCATCCCATGTCCTCCCCATCCTCTTACCTTCGCTGTGTTTTTTTTTTTTTTAAACTTCTATTCATATTATGTATATTTTAAAATTACCATAACATATTTTATAGATAAAATACAATTGCTGTAGGAAAGTTGAGTGGTTGGAAGGGCTGAATGTAAGATGGGCCTACGTGACAAATTTGTCACCTATTGAAAATAAAGCTTGTTTGTTTGTGTGTTCATTCTCTAGTTCCAATCTCCATGTGTGTTTGTGTGTGTGTGTTTTTATGTCTGCCTTTATTTCTTTGCCCCTTAGAAAGTCTCTAGTGTAACCATAACCCCCATATTGTATCTGCTAAGGAATACAACATTGCTGCTTGTCCTGGATCTGTCAACACCAACAGAGCTGTGGTTTACCATGGAAACACTGTTACAGGCAGCAAAGACGCGGCTGGAGGAGGCTATCAGAGAAGCCAAGAGTTTGGATCCTTCCATCAAAGACAGGCTGCAGAAAATGGCCTGGGAGAGGGTTGGTGTGGACCATCCTGTAAGTAAATTAGGACCAGTAGTTGGATGTTGACCATCTTGCGTTGGTTTTGACATTGGTATCAAGAGTCAACTGTTCAGATATCAGTAACAAACTATTGAAAGTAAAACTACCTAGTGAAATCACAAACATCTGTAAACTTTGCTGAGATTGGTTCTGCAACATTCTGTAAAAAATATGCAGCTAACTTTATTATTTATTTTTAGTTTCAGGTTGGCTTAGAGGCTAGAAGGTTGGCTTTTCTGTTTGTTAGTGGATCTTTTCTCCAGGCTATGCCGTTGTAGTGGGTAATGAACAGGCAGAAAGATTGGCGGGATCTGCACTACTGGGTGGTGAATTGATTCATGAAAAGGCAAATGTGGTCAAGGCCCTTTGGGAACAAGCAACGGAATCAGTAGAGAAACAAGATTATTATGGCTGGTGAGAATGAGGCAGCTGGGTGTAATCAGAGGGTCTGGCCAGCTCACTACACTCAGAGGAAATGCAAGACGAACATTTAACCAGATTGTGACCAGTACCATCAGTATTGGAACTCTGCACTGGCTGCTGAAGATGGGGACGGAGCGCACATGGGAATGCCCCGAGCGCTGTGATGTCAATTCTTGACTCAACTCAACTATACTCAACTTAAGGATTAAGAATAAAGTAATTGAATAATTCTGGCAGACTCAGTTGCATTTTAAAAAAAAAGTATTTTACCGAATTCTGAAGTGAAGAGTCGAAGGCAGTGAGAAAGTGTACTGGCCACATCATCCCATTTAGTTATGACAGTACTGTGGTTCTCAGTGACGGCCCCAGAAGGAGGCAGTGCCTTATTCTGAGGGTCTGCAGCAAATTCTAAACATAATTGCAATGTCTGTGAATAATTTAGAATTCATACATCTCATTTTCTGTGTGTTGTTTTTCGTTAAGCATCATGAAGAATGAAATACTGCTACAAAATTGATATTATCAGAATACGATTTTACTCATTTAAACGCTTCACTTCATAATGCCGGCATGCCGGGTTCGATCCCAGCTACGGGCAATGCGCCTTGCGTTGGTTTCGACAGTAGTATCAAGAAAGCCGACCATCCAGAAAGCAATGGCAAACTACTGGACGTAAATTTGCCTAGAAAAACCACACAACAGCCAGGGGCTGTTAGGGTTGGTTCTGCAACGTCCTGTAAAGGATACGCAACAACCTTATATCTAATGCTATGCACCTTGTAAACCAAGTTTAAAATGTTTTTTGACTTCATATGTACATACGCACACAAATCCTGACAAACCTGAATTGTATACGTGTCGACATCTTAGAAGTTTCTCTGAGTACTGAAAGTGAGATAGTTACTAAGGAGCTTGGTTATATAAAGTTTTATCAATATATATAAGAGAAATTTCTTGGGAAAAGAATACAACATACACACACAGATAGGTTTTACACAAATTGAAACTAGAGAAAATCTGTGTAAATATGATCAGCTCTCTGACATGTGAATGCTCTCAGTGAAAAAATAAATTAGTTCCTTGTTGAAAGAAATGATGAAACAAAAGTTAAGGGCGAAAATGCAAGAGGAAGACACAAGTTACATATAGATGGATGACATTAAGAGATATGAAGATATTAACTGTACAATCTATTGTTTGTGTCATGTTGGTTTAAATTTCCAATAGGAAGATGTTTGTAAAGTAGATCTCTATATACAACATTAAGAAAGAGACAAACTGTTCCTTGGCCACATAATGAGAAGAGAGACATTGGAGAACATCATGACAACTGGTAAGATCAGTGGAAAAGGGGGTAGAGGCAGACCAAGAGAGATGGATGGGCTGAAATGATGGCATCAAGAGAGCTGTTCCAGGCAACCAGGGATTGTGATATGTGGAGACGCATGAGTGCCTACGCCAGTTGGCAGGACACACAATGATGATGATGAGATGTTTGTGTAAGACGTCTTGAGGTCTAAACTTCTCTAAAACATTTATAAATTATTCATTTAAGATGTCTAAAGTAATTTCAACATTGTAGAAATAAGAATCACAACTGTATCAGATGACAAACCGTGATCACTCACACTTATTGCCATGGCACATGATAATAACATAACCCTTGACCCATTAGGGTCGTGGAGGTGTATTGAGGAAAGCACTAGCACATAAAACCCGCCATCTTTCTCTGTCTTCCGATTGATGAATAAGTGTATGAAAACTTAGCCCTGTCCATTTCATGATGTTGTCATTTCAGGTTCTTCTTTGCCCTCCTCTTCTTTGACTACCCCCCCAATGTTCTTTGAAGTACAGTCTTTGCAATCGAATCATGTCTCACCATGTGCCCAAACAGGGCTAGCTTTCGACGTTTCACCACTGCCAAGAGAGGCTCCTGATGTCCCGCAAATTTGTAAATGTTGTCTCTGACATATTTATTAGTTTTGTATTCTAAATAACTAATTTGTAAAATGTGTCTGTAGCATTTACATTTGAAAGCCTGAATTCTCCTTTCCATTTCCACAGTTAGAGTCCAACTCTCACATCCGAATAAGAAAATAGACAATACCTGTGATTTGTAAATATTGACCTTGACTGCGATGCTGATTCACATGATAATAATTATTAATGAATAATGAAGCAAGTGATTGAGTAATTTTTTTTGGTTTTCATTTTCAGGACAAAAACATGATGGATCCTTTCTTAATACCACTTGTGATAGTTGGTAGCAAGTATGATTTGTTTCAGGTATAATGGTTGGGTGACTGAAAGTGTGATGCTTCCATTTGAAGGCTATGTTTATAAATTTGAGGTTTAGAAATGTTGGATGCCCATGTGGTACCAGGGTCCATAAGGATAACAAGGAGTAGTGATAGTATAACCTTGTTATTTCCAGAGTGATAATGTGCAGCAGCCTGCCATGTTGCTATGTTGATGCCAAAAGAGTGAGGAGCATTTTTAAGAGTGTCCTTAATGCACTTTTTCTGTCCTCCCTCGGACCTCTTCCCTTGCTGCAGCTTGCCATAAAATACTCTTTTGGAGGCGATATATCACAGCCATGCTGTAAACAGGCACAACGCAACATCTTCGGATGAACGCAGAAGAAGAAATTCTTCTTCTTCTTTCCTCTTGAATGAAAATAATGTTCACATGAAATAATGTTCTTCTGTAACTCAGAACTACATCATGCATTCTGGTCAGGTGCTTCTTCTAAGCAAGTTCTGTCTAAAGCAACAGAATATTACCTGTAGTTCGATTTGTCACCTAACATTTTTACTGTGGCAGTGACATTCTGTTTGCAATGAATAACTGCCAAATTACCATTGGATTTTTCACATATGCAGCTTGCACATACACTCTGTTTTTGTTTTGTTTTGTTTTGTTTTGTTTTTCTGTAAATGTTTATTTGAAAGAGCTAAGATTCTGTTTTAATATGTCTAACTGATCAAGGGAGTTTGTGATTTCACTGGAAATGAGGAATCTTTTTAAAAAAAAATATTATCTGTATTTTGTCTGAAAGAGGGCACTATAACTTTTGGGACATGCCTGTGGTGATGGTTATGATGATGATGATGATATGTGTAGCTCAGCTGACTGGGACTACTTCTCAGTTTCATTAGAGTACACTGCATGTGTTCTGGTCACATATACAGTATATGATGCAGGGCCACAATTATTCAGGCATTCTGCATAAATACTCTTCTTCTCATCTTTTTTTGTCAAAATCTGCTTGTGCCGCTAGGCGTCGCAGTCTATCAGATGATCGGCAACCGAGCCAGGGCGCGCTCAGTCGCTTCATATGCCGTGATGTTATGAAGTCTCAAGTTGTCCGTGACTCCTTCAATCCATCTTCTTCTTGGTCTTCCCCTGCCTCTTGGTGTTTCGATTTTCATGTTGTATGCTCTTGATGCTGGCATCGTTGGCATAAATACTCAGTGAATGTCATTCTGTAGATGAAGTAAAAGTAAAGGACCCCTTTCCGTGCCTTTCAGGCATATTGGGTTTATAGGGCTAGACCTATACTTTATAGACCAAAAGCACAAGATGGCTGATATGGTCAGCATCACGCCGGCCGCCTTTACTTCCCAAGACTGCCCATGGTACCCACTCAAGGCTGGGTCGACCTGGGAGACAGGCCTTTTCTTTTTTTTATCCGGCCCCCGCCAGGAAGCAAACCCATGACCTTCTGATTCTGAAGTTGAAGATTCTATTTTTTTCCCTGCAGGATTTTGACTCAGAAAAAAGAAAAGTAATCTGCAAGACTCTGAGATTTGTTGCACACCTGTACGGAGCCAGCTTACTGGTAAATGAACATGTGGAATGTCCAAACAGTCAACAGTATAAAATAGATGCACATGTCTAAACAGCAATGTTACATGTTAAAAATAAGAATGGTCAAGTGTTAAATGTATTCTTTATTATTGTATACTGTTAGAAAAATGGACAATAAATAAACTTTTAAGCTATCTTTATGATTAGCAGGAATGTGATAGAAAGAAAAGAAAACATTTGGATGAAAGAAAACATTACTGAATGAGAGATCAACAGCGGACAATTAAAATACTTAAGCCATATAAAGAGGAACAGTTTCTTGTTAAAGAATTTCTTCCTTTTCTTTTCTCCTATTGACAAAGAAGACACCTTTAATCAGTTTGCACCAAGTCCTTTTTTCTGCCTTCATCATTTAAAGAGTAGTTATGTTGTGGTTAACGTTTCCTCACCTTTCACTCCAAATTAATTAATCTTTCATACTGGTTATACAAGCGGTAGGCAAAATTGGGTAAGAAATATAGAGGGAGGGAACTCAGTATCTCATCAAATTTTTTCTTGGTCTTGAATCTATGTAGGCTAATATTTTAATCCTAACAGCAGTATCTGTAAGAGGCTTTCATTTTGAATTGTGAAAGTGTATTTAGGTTACTGTCCGTCCCCATGTGGGACACAATTATTTGTTATGTTGAAACCCCACTCTGGCTGTTGCCGGGGGCCCTAAAATAACTCAATCTATGGGTTGAACAGGGTTTCTGGAACCTGACCCAGGTGATCCTCGTCCGAATGGTAGCACTCTATGTCACCGGGTGTTTGTCGTTCGGTGTGATGTCTTGGTGAGGTAAAACATCAGTCTGTATTTAGGTTTGAATGTGTTTGTGCATAATTGCATACTTTTGCTGGTATCTCAGTCAATAAGCAAAGGTAGGGCATTAAAGAACAAGCAAAAAGAAAAGAGAAAGATGTATGCTTATTAATTATTCATTAAATCATTTTGCCATAGATTCTTGTTCATTTTTGTTTGCAATACAGTTTTTCAGCACAAAACAAGAACAGTTAGTGTCCAAGATGAAGAGTGTTTTCAGCCATTACCTTTTTGGGGCAGCTCCAAGGTCAGTTAATTACTTTTTCCTTTTGCCCCACTGTCTACCACGTTTGCACGTTGTGTAATCCGCCAACATTTATACCAGGCTACCAGGATCATAACTTTGGAGCTCACCAACATGTTTAAATTGCGACTTTTGCGATAAGTGTAGTTGAAACCGTTAGTCCATTCATTTCTTTATGTTTACGGGACACAATTCAGTAGTGTTTAAAGTAAATTTTCCATGAATTTTTTTGGGCATCTCCCATGTTGATTACGTGCATGTTTTCATAAAGGGGGCGATCGTTAGGGCTGTCATGGTGGACCAGTTTGGAGAATATCTATGGTGCAGAGGGAGATTGTCTTGATTATTTTTAAATCGGAAAGTAAAGGTGATATTTCTGAACAGTTTGATGACTGTGATTCTGATAAATCTTACAAATTGTCATCAAAAACATTGTCTAAGCTGGCAGACGATGTTCAGCTTACAGCAGTGGTGTGGCAATCAGAGGCAGATGTGTTATGCTAGAAGATTTTTTGGTTGAAAGATGATAAAGAAAATAAGATAGTTTTCATGATATCATTGTATCAATAATATGTCTGGATTTGTAGCCCAGTAGATAAGCCATATTAATCTGTGTGAGTGAGAGATCAGAAACAAAACAATACAAAATCATGTGAATTAATGTTCTCACTTCTGCAGCAAAAGTCTACAAGTTGATCACAACAAGCCTATTTTTGTCTCTCCTGGACAAGACACTCTACAACAAATAGGTAACAGTCTTAAATTTTACAAAAGTAATAAAAACTACATAACAGCTGTGGCCAAATAAGATAGATTTTTTTTTAAATGGTTAATTAAAATCTGACAGCATTTGGCTGTTTTTAAAATTTTTTTAATTGATTGTTTAGATTTCCCTGTATGAGTTGTGGCCTCATTTTGGGAAAATCTTCTTCTTCTTCACGTTCACCAGCTGTACACTCTGGCAGAAAGTTCTGGTTGTTCGTCCACTACTGAACTGCAGTCCTGCTCTAGAACCTGAGTGTTGCGTGTGCATCAGTTTTACAGATCTCATTCTCTTGAATACAGACTGTTGGTTCCTTGCCTCTCCGGCAGATGCACTCCGACTTCAAAGGAAGCCCCCCAATTAGTCGACTCTTACGACATGCTTTTGGGTAGGCAGTGGGTCTATTCTTGTTTTCCCCTACAATGGGGCCCCGGAACCCACACTGGGGATTTTGGGAAAATAAAAATAGACTCACTGCCCCCCCCCCCCCCCTCCTCCCAACCCTCCCATGCCCCAACAAGAATGTCACAAATGTTGACTAATTAAGGGTGTTTCCTTCGAATTTTTAGTGCATCTGCCTGAGAGACAAGGAACAAGCAGTCTACTTACAGATAAACTAGATCTGTGAAATGGGTGTGCATGCAAAATTCAGATTCTGGAACTAAAGTCCAGAAGTGAATGAACAACCAGAACTTTCCGCTGAGGCTTACAGTCGGTGAACATAAAGAAGATAAAGACCTTGGCACCCAGGTCAGTCCAGCCTAAAATAGGTACCATATCATGGGAAGTAAAGGCGGTTAGCATGAGGCTGACAACATCACCCATCAAATGCTGAGCAGTCTGTACAAATATTGGTCTAGCACTTTATGCCCAGTGTAATGAAAGCATAAAAAAGATCCTTACTTTTTTTTTTACTTTTCCTAACATGCCACTTGTTTTTTTTTTCTTTCTATTGACAGGTACCCCTCCCTTATCTGACAAGGATATAGGGAGAGTTCAAGCCAAGTATGTATTCATGTTTTGTAGTTTTGTATGTTTACCTGCGCATGTTTACACACACAGACATGCAGACACAGGCTCATTTATTCACTAATTCTGTATGCTTGCTTTTAGAGATACAGAATGGAAAGGAAAGAGAGACAGACAGATACAGACAGAGATAGCAGTTTTAATGGGAAACTATATATGAAAATCCCCTGTGTGGGTTCCGGGGCCCCATTGTGGGGAAAACAAGAATAGACCTACTGCCTCCCCAAAAGCATGTTGTAAGAGTCAACTAATTGGGGAGCTTCCTTTGAAGACGGAGTGCGTCTGCCGGAGAGGCAAGGAACCAACAGTCTGTATTCAAGAGAATGAGATCTGTAAAACTGATGCACACGCAACACTCAGGTTCTGGAGCAGGACTGCAGTTCAGTAGTAGACGAGCAACCAGAACCTTCCGCCAGAGTTTACAGCTGGTGAACGCGAAGAAGAAGAAGAAGATATGAAAATTAAGAACAGGACATTTTTCCTCAATTTTGTTGTCTAATTATTTATTTAAGCACTTAGATGGACAGACTGAGCAGTTTTAATAGGTAACTATATGTTAAAATTAGTACAGGATATTTTTCCTAAATTTTACTGTCTATTTATTTATTTTAGAACTCCGCTGGCTTTGTGGAAAGTGGCTTTTACTGGAATTTTTCCACAAACAGTAAGTCGGTATACATTGTGATGTGATCATTTTCTAGATATTACACATTATTGTAGGTTTATAAGCTAATTGTGTACTTTGTTACTTCTATAAAAGCTGGTATGCCATACCATCATATTGTAGTTTATGCTTAGGTTACCACTCTAGAGGTGAAAAATACAAATGTATAAAGAATTTTAACATCCACTCAATGGAAGGTGGAAAAATAATTCTCCATGATAAATAGAGCCAGTGTTAACAGATAGTTGTGAACTGTGGACAATTAACAAACAAGACAAACAATTTCTTGAGGTCAGGGAAATTGCTTTACAAAAGAATCCTTAGACTTATTTGGCTAGCCAAAAGCGTGGACCCAGAAACAACCTATCAGAAACATCAGAAAATGACAGTCCTAATATTATGAGAAGAAAGAAACTGAATCATGCTGTGACCACTAGAAAGATCTGTGGAAAGAGGGAAGAGGAAGACAGTGTGGGGGGAAAAGAAATAGACAAAGTCAGTGCGAGAAATTTTGTGACAACCTTTTGTCATGGCATGGAGGACATCAGCACATGAACTGATATATGATGTTGAAGTTTGCAGGTTGTAAAGGAGCATGATCACCCACACCAGTCAGTGATGATGATGATGATAAAACAAAATATTCTGAAATTACTAATTTTAATTCCTGACATAGTAACTAAAGCATTTGATTTTTATGTTGTCTAGTGTGTCCTTCTATCTTTCTACTTCTACTGTAAGTGCCGGTCAATACATGGTCTGTTTCTTTATTGTATACTAGCTGTACCCGGCCACGCGTTGCTGTGGCATATTTTGGCTAAATGGAAAAGAAAAAAAATAGAAACAGCCCCCGCCCGCTCAAATCCACTGATTACTCTCCAACTCATTGAAGGTTTTTTAAAAGAAAGAAAATAGAAATTGCACGTGTCTAATATGGTTAATGTCTCAATCATTGCCTGTACAGATATAGATATAGTCTGGATTGCCGACTCAAGAACATGCAACATATAATTGTATCATTATAGTTGTCATTTAAATTGGACTTCTAAATATTGTTATTTGGTTATCACATGCTAAAGCTGTTTGTATTTTGTAAAGAGACGGAAGTAAAGCTTACTACTATACTTTCAGATTTAAAAAAAAATAATAATAATAGCTGAGGTAGCTTTAGTAAAATTAAACAAATTAAGAAATAAAAACTTTAAAATCTTGTGTTAAGCTCTTTAAGTTAACAATTTCTTTCATCACACCCTCCCCTCCCCATCCACAGACTACTACTCTCTCCTCCCTCTTCAAAGGGTTTAAAAGTCATCACCTGACGATATGTTTTGTAACTGACCTTGATATCCCTGTCCATCCGGACTAAAATGAGGAGCAGGAATTGTAACGAATAGTAAATTCAGCTAGTGTAATATTTACCACACATCCTTCAAGTACCAGTACAACTACTACCACCACCAATACAGTAACTAAAATAATGTCACTGCTATCTGTTTTACCATTGGAGTAGACAGGGAGTCGTAAGCCAGAGAATCTGGTGCCACATGGCTAGTGCTGTCACCATGGACTGGTCAGGTTAGGATGTATAATTTCGCTCCCCGACAGAAAAACGCCATCACCTTACCGGCGGCCTCCGACTTGACAGCACTACGGTGTAACCGCCCAACCACAACTACTACTACTGCTGCTACTTTGAGTGGATAAGGCAGTTACGGTGATTTAAAGCTCTCTCACTTAACAGTTTATGTTACAGAGGTTGTTTGAAAAGAAAGAAAATAGTCTAATATGGTTAATGTCGTAATCATTGCCTGCGCAGATATAGAGATAGTCTGGTTTGCTGTACCATGCAGGCGAATGGTGAAAGTCGTGCGTTCCGACTACTGCGCATGCGCATTTACAAACATAGCTTTAATTAAATGTCACTAAAATGAAAATATTAGTTTCAAAAATGTTCCCAACAAATGTCGCCACCTATTTCAAACCATGACAGGTAGAATTCCGGTATCAAAACAAACATATCCTGAAAATTTCAGCCAAATCAATTTAGTAGTTTCTGAGCATATAGATAATAAACAGACACATAAACATTGATTTGTATATATATATATATATAGATAATCTTTCCCATGCTTTGGTATATATGGGTTGGTGAAGTTGGCTTCAAATTTTTATAAACACCATCACTGGACAGTTGATGTGGTCAGTATCACATGGACTGTCTGCACAATAAATAAACTCCATGGCATCTATATTGTATATTTACCATAAGTACACATGATATAAATAATTTGTTTTGTAGGTTGTACTTTTTAATTTAACCTGGGCAGTGACCTACTTAGCCCGCCTTTTTCTTTTTAAACCATGCTTAACATGTATACAGTTCATGTGAGATTTTGCAGCCTTGTCTGAAGAGTCTAAATGTCTGATCCACTTCTCCCTTGATCAGAGGGAGTATACTATGCTTTTCTTATTGTTTTAAAAATTGCCACAGTCCAGACAGTGTAACCAACCAGGACCTATATATACATGTACCCTACCCTTCTACCACTGAAGCTGTACACTATAGACATGTTTCATATTTCTCCTCTGTTCTTACCCAGACCACCAATGACCCTGCTATGGTTGAGGACCCAGCAAAGGATCCTCAGTTTGCAGAGCCTGCCATTGACAATCTGAGGGCACAGAAAAATGAGGTATTTAAACTCATATTAAATTACACAAAGAATGAATTGATGAAAACAAAATGCTGCTATGAAGCTTATTGAAATGTTAAAGCGAATGTTTCTGTCAGTCTTTATCAACAAAGTGCAGTAAAACCTAGGATAAATTACTACAACATATAGTTTGAGAATGGAGGTGGAGGCATTCACAGCAGCCTTACCCTCGCTCGAGAAGCACTTGCAGAAATATGTTGTGATTATAGCATACTCACAAATCGTTCTGAGAAAGGCATGCTGCAGTCAGAGTGGCAAGCAATGCTTTAGAGGTCTTCACTAGTTAGCATCCTGTGGCTCTTTTCTCTGGGGTATGCAGGTGTATTGAGAAAGGAACACACAGCCAGATTGCCTGGTGCTGCCTGACTGTGCGGTGAACTGATGCATGACAAGCTAGATGTGGTCGGCTGAACAATGCAGAAGCATGACTTGATCATTGTGGTGTGGCAAGAATGCTGCAGCAGTGAAGGACCAGGGGATCTAGCTGACACTCTACACTCTGACAAAGGGCAAGACAGACTTATAATCAAACTGCAACTGGTACCGTCAGCATTGGAACTCTTCCATAGCTGCTGAAGATGAGGATGGGGTGCCTATGGGAATGGCCTAAGTGCTGTGATGTTTTCTTCTTGACTCAGCTCAAACAAATTGGCCAATAATTTGGCAAAGCTTTTGCTTGTTGTCTGTGTCTTTCATTTTACTGAACTTCCTAGCTGTAATTTGTGTTAATTAATTTTCCAGTTTAGCTCCACAGCAGTCACCCCCTTATTTCAGTGCCTGTAATTACACCATATTAGTTTCTAAAGCAGAGCTTTCCTAAATGTGTGTTGAGACACCTCAGTGTGTCGGCTGCAGTGTGAAGTTGTGCTGCACGAACATAAAGTGTTGAACAGAATACTCAGTGTGCAATGCTGCAGTTATTGGTTGACTTGTTTTAAAATCATTACATTGGCATTGATCTTGGAAATATATATTTTTAATATAAGTTAAAGGTTTTTATAAGTTGTGTCGTGGTGCCTCTTGTCACTAAAATTTATGTATGTGTAGTATCTCTTGTATGGGGTTAGCTTAACATCCGGTTTGCTAGTAGACTGGGTTCTAGTCACGTAAAGAGACACAACAATGAGAGTGACCTCAATTCCCATTGATGCCTCGACCTGGTGTGGGGCCATGTACTATGTCACAGGGGTGCTAGGTAGCATGATATATGCAGTATATAATAGAGGCTACATACAATCGTGAGACATAGGCTGAGGCTGTGGATGGTTGGGGTTAGGCCCAGTTGTACATGTTTTAGGACTGTTAAAAGCGCTCAAAGCTTAGAAGACAGGATATTACCAGCCGCTGACAACAAGCAGTGAAATGATTCATACGCCTGAAACCCCTGTGACATAATACAGGTGCTATACCATATCGAGGCATCAGTGGGAAGGGAGGTCACTCTCACTGTTGGGTCTCTTATCGTGACATGTACCATAGACTGAATTAGTATGTTGCAAAATTATGTGTCACAAACATAAACAGCTTGGAAAGCTTTGTTGTGAAGGATCACTTTCAACAGGAGAATTTCATTACTGTGCACGAACTCTGCAGAACCAGCAATAATTAGCACAAGATGATGATGTCACTACAGTTTATGTATGTGGTAGTATCTCTTGTAAGGGGTTAACTCAACATCTGGTTTGCTAGTTGACTGGGTTCTAGTCACGTTAAGAGACCCAACTATTAGAGTGACCTGAGATGGGGAGACAGCAGTTGTAAGAGGTTAACTGCTGACAAACATTTCTAGCACCAACATTAGATGCAGAGACAGCCGCTGAAGTGAGTGTGTAAACATTACACAACACAAACAGTACTAAACTGAAACAGCCTTATCAATATCACGTATCTAGTGCCACTACAAGTGATGTTAAATGACGTAAACAACTACTAATACACGCAATATGTAGCAAGTATTATTACTACCATAGAGTGTAATGTGCTACTGTGTAGTTGACAAGAAAATTATTGGAATGGCAGGAATGTATTGAAGTGTGTCAGTCAGGTGTGTGTGTGTGCTATGTCGCAGGGGTGCATGCTAGATCGCATGATTGTATGCAGTATGTAATAGCCTCCTTGTGTGGAAAGCGGGGCGGGGAGCAGTGACCAGCTTTTTTCTGTACCTTGTTTTTATACTACAGTTTTTGTACAATAGAGCAGCAATTTCTTTAGTGTTATAAAACTGAAAAATACAGGTTTTGGGATAAAAATGCAGGTTTTTGGAGAGGTTATGGTAATTATTAAAATAGTATTAGTTTACATAACAGAGAATAGGACAGAAAATGTAAATAAATGTTTACTATATAAAGAGTAACCAATGAACTTTCTGTAAGGCTCCATGCAGTGAAAGAGTTTTGGCAGCAGTATCATTTCATAGAGTTGCTCATTTGTTTTCAGAATTAGTTATCATGATCTCCTCAGAAACATGTTTTTTAATTTTTTTTTAATTTAGATGTAAATCTTCTACATAATGTACCATTTCAGGAGCTTGAGCACTACAGGAAAGTTGCAGAGAGGAGGGCCAGAGAATCTGAACACAGTTCCCAGCTTTCATCATAGGGTTAACCGGTGAGAGAGAGAGAGAGAGAGAGAGCACAGTTGCCAGCTTTCATCATAGGGTTAACTGGTGAGAGAGAGAGAGCACAGTTCCCAGCTTTCATCAAAGGGTTAACTGGTGAGAGAGAGAGAGAGAGAGAGAACACAGTTCCCAGCTTTCATCATAGGGTTAACTGGTGAGAGAGAGAGAGAGAGAGCACAATTCCCAGCTTTCATCATAGGGTTAACTGATGAGAGAGAGAGAGAGAGAGCACAGTTCCCAGCTTTCATCATAGGGTTAACTGGTGAGAGAGAGAGAGAGAGCACAGTTCCCAGCTTTCATCATAGGGTTAACTGGTGAGAGAGAGAGAGCACAGTTCCCAGCTTTCATCATAGGGTTAACTGGTGAGAGAGAGAGAGCACGGTTCCCAGCTTTCATCATAGGGTTAACTGGTGAGAGAGAGAGAGAGCACAGTTCCCAGCTTTCATCATAGGGTTAACTGGTGAGAGAGAGAGAGCACGGTTCCCAGCTTTCATCATAGGGTTAACTGGTGAGAGAGAGAGAGAGCACAGTTCCCAGCTTTCATCATAGGGTTAACTGGTGAGAGAGAGAGAGCACGGTTCCCAGCTTTCATCATAGGGTTAACTGGTGAGAGAGAGAGAGAGCACAGTTCCCAGCTTTCATCATAGGGTTAACTGGTGAGAGAGAGAGAGAGAGAACACAGTTCCCAGCTTTCATCATAGGGTTAACTGGTGAGAGAGAGAGAGAGCACAGTTCCCAGCTTTCATCATAGGGTTAACTGGTGAGAGAGAGAGAGCACGGTTCCCAGCTTTCATCATAGGGTTAACTGGTGAGAGAGAGAGAGCAAAGTTCCCAGCTTTCATCATAGGGTTAACTGGTGAGAGAGAGAGAGAGCACAGTTCCCAGCTTTCATCATAGGGTTAACTGGTGAGAGAGAGAGAGCACGGTTCCCAGCTTTCATCATAGGGTTAACTGGTGAGAGAGAGAGAGCACAGTTCCCAGCTTTTATAATATAATGTTAGTTGAGAAGCTTCTGAACACGGCTCTCATATTTCATCATAGGGTTACTTGGTGAGAGAGCACAATTCCCAGCTTTCATCATAGGGTTACTTGGTGAGAGAGCACAATTTCCAGCTTTTATAATGTTAGGAAGAGAGTCTGAACACAGTTCCCAGCTTTCACCATAGGGTTACTTGGGGAGAGAGCACAATTCCCAGCTTTCATCATAGGGTTACTTGGTGAGAGAGCACAATTCTCAGCTTTTATAATGTTGGGAAGAGAGTCTGAACACAGTTCCCAGCTTTCACCATAGGGTTAACTGGTGAAAGAGCAGTTCCCAGCTTTTATAATATAAGGTTAGAGAAGACAGTATGAACACAGTTCCCACCTTTTACAGCATAATGTTAGTTAGAAAGAGAGTCTGAACACAGTTCCAAGTTTTATAATAAAAGATTAACAGGGATGAGAAAATTTGGACAGTACCCAGCTTTCTTAAAAAAAGCTTGGTTGGGGAAAGAGTCTCAACATCTTTGTCAGCTTTCATAGTATGGTTAGTTCAGAAGAGCCTGCATATCTTTCTTATTTTAATGTACATTTTGAATTCGTTGAAGTCAGCCAGAATTAGCGGGAGCAATTGTAGCACAGTGGCTACCAATAGACATCCTTTGTTGGGTCATCAGCCACAGTAAGGTCACTCACTGGTGCTCTGGGTGAAAATGGAAAAAAATAAGAAACATGTCTATTTTGTTTAGCTTCAGTGTGGTAGAAGGGTATGGTAAATATATATATATATATACATAAGTCCTGGTTGGTTACTAATCTGGACTGTGTTAATTTGTCTAAATAAGAAAAGCATTGTATACTCCACTTGATCAATGGGAAATGGATCACACATTTAGACTCCTCAGACAAGGCTGAAAAACTTCAATTGTATGTTCAAATTTTCATCAAGGTAAGGAATTGTTTTTGTTTTCTAAATTATTTCAGAATAAGAAAATTAAATGACAATGCAGTGTGTTAGCAAGCAAAATATTCTGTTTATTTTCTGCATTTTCACAATACATTTTATTTTAGAATATGTTCTGTTCTGCTTTATTTATTGCAGATATACAAGGAAAAATAAAGTACGTAAGCTGTGTTCTCTGTGCACAAACTGAAAATATTTCCCATTATTTGGGCAAACTGGTAGAGCTAACAATTGACACTTGTTCCTAGACAACAGCTGTAACCAGCAATTACAAGTCAAGCGCTGAATCATTAAACTAACATTTAGAAAACAATACTTTGACTGTTAACTAATGCCTAACCAAAAACAGTGTTTGAAAATCAATGCTCAAGTTGCTTATAGAAGTCTGCCTATTTATCAAATGTTTGAAAGCTGGTGCCTATAATGTTTGCCCATAGAATATAGTGTTTAACGAATGACTGGTGTCTGATTGTAGAATATACAGTATTTGAAAATAAGTCTCTGACTAAAATATGCATCCTTTGAAAGCTACTGTCTGTCCCTAATAAATAGTGTTTGAAGGCTGGTACCTATGCTGTTTGCCTGTAGAATATTCAATGCTGAAAGTTTGTGCCTATGTTGTTTGCCTGTACAGTGTTTGAAAGCTGGTGTGTGAATTTGCTGTCTGCAACAACAAAAAGTTTGAAAAATTGGTACTTAAGCTACCTTTATACAATAAAGGTGTGTGAAAATAATCTTGACAACTTTGAAACAATGACATATTTGTAGACACATACATAGGATTCATGATTCTGTGAACCAATTTTCATAAGTGGAAGTATGGGAAAAAAATCTTAACATGAGAAATTAATTCAGAGAAATAATCAATGAGACAACATTCCTGCAGTAATTTGAATTTTGTTAAAATAATTCTCAGCCACATGTGTTACCAGGGTCGGTGCTGTGGCTAAGTGGATGCGAACGCTTCGTAATGCGGGGTTTGATACCAGCTGCGGGCCACGTGCCTTGCGTTGGTTTCGACAGTGGTATCAAGAAAGCCCACCATCCAGAAAGCAATGGCAAACTACTGGACATAAATTTGCCTAGAAAAACCACACAACAGCCAGGGGTTGTTGGGGTTGATTCTGCAACGTCCTGTAAAGGATACGCAACTAACCTGTTACCAGGACCCTTAACCCTCTGGTTGTAGGAACACTAAAAAAAAAGTTCATGACCCTCCTGGAGCAAATTTACATCCAGCAGTTTGCCATTGCTTTCTGAGCGGTCGGCTTTCTTGATACCACTGTCGAAACCAAAGTAAAGCGCATGGCCCGCAGCTGGGATCGAACCCGGCATTACGAAGCGTTCGCATTGACTTCAACTTGGCTTTAATAAAACCATTTAGTTTGAAAGTAAACCCTCTGAGTGCTGTGTTTTTTTTTAATGTACCCATATCCATATCTTGACCTCCCAAACATTTGTGCAGATGTGAAAACAGCCAGTAGCATTAACTATGCATCTCATAACCAGGTCAATGCAGAAAAGTGACATATACGGGGAATTGGACACAACCAGAACTGTCAGTTTTCGGAGCAAAATGGTTAAGGAAAGCACAATATAATAACACTGTAACCTGTCAAGCATGTTGTAAGATGCCTCTAAGGAAGCTTGGTGCTGGCTACCCCCATCCGGTAGAAAGCTTAAACTGCATAAGCCAACAAATCAAGAGTATGGATGAGACACTTGTACTGGATACGATTTTTGAACCGGATAGGACCCTCGCTGAAAAATCATGATAATAGTATTACTTAAAACTCCCTACACTGGAATCCACCGAGCAAAGTAAATGAAGAGAGATCTTAAATCATGTGGAGGAGGGAATTAGAGACAGATTAATATAACGATGAGGACACAGCTGCAGGAGATGGCAAATGATATAACTGCTTAGCAAAGCGTTGTTAAGGGCCTATGCTCCAATGAAGAATAAAAGACAGAAGAAAGGGAAGATGCATTATTCTGTTGCCATACTCCATCTCTTTCAGAATGGCAGACTATTTGTTTAGTATTTATGATGGAAGGTCAGTATCTGGAGCTGTTCCCAAAAGTCTGTGACAAGAGGTAATCATGACAGACACAATTTTGTCCTGATTATATTTTTAAATACTCCCTACGCCCGGCTCTCTAGCCTAGTTGGCTAAACCGGATTGCGCGGTGACTGGATGACGAACTCCTTGTGGTCCGGATTCACTCCCGGGGGTAGGCAGAAAAGCCACATTTCTCCCAGATTTACGGTATTTACAATGGAATCAAGGCCGAAAGGTTGCGATATCCATAATACCGAGCCTAAGGGTTAGCAACTCATGGCTTCTAGTTACTTAAACAAACAACAAATACTCTCTACACTCATTTCTTCCTCTTCTGCGTTCATCCAAAGACGTAAGTGCATTGTGCTAATTTACAATATGGCTGCGATATTTGCGCCTTTCGGTCAATATATCCAACTTCTGCAGGTTGTGCAGGTTAGCCTTTCCGAGTACAACCATTTACCAACAACAGAAACCAAACAAACCAGCAAATAACTAACTCACAACACTTTACTCTCATTTGTTCCACAGGTATGGAAATATTAGCAAAAAAAGGTAGCAATTTTGATATATGCAAACACACATATAAAATAGTTTGTCATGATTTTGTTATGGCATTATATTAATAGAATTATCTGTGGAACAATTAGCAGAGCTGGAGAACATTTTACGCAGCTATTTCGGTTCTTTATTGATATCCTACCCCAGATGACGTCACAGGACAGTCCAACATTTTAGAGGGTAGTAAGACTGGGTTTCCCGGCTTTCTGATGCTTTTAACGACCCCAAAACATTTATAACTTGCCCTAACCCCAACCCACCTAGGTCCCACGAGAGAGTGCAGCCTAGGTCCTACAACTGCATGCAGCCTAGGTCCCACGACTGCATGCAGCCTATTTACCACCCCCTGAAATATTAGACTGTCTTGTGACATGTGGATTTTCCCTTTTTGGGGTAGGATATTAATAAAGCA